AAATTAATCTTTACAATGCAGAGGAAACAAGTTGCATCTGAAGTGACATTTAGATGTCTCACTGTTTAATGCAGCTCAGAGGGACATGGGATGCTTTAACCTGCAGTTACAAATGCATAGATACTGTTTTGATATTGTAAACAAAAAACGTCGAATATACGGACATTTGAAATTATTTTTAAAATATAAATGTGAAATTTAAACCACCAGTAGATACCAGTATTTTGTGATCATTCGAAATGTATTTTAATAAACTGAATCATACAGTGAAAGAAAGCACTGTAAACACACGCACTAGTCTAACCTACTACATTTCATCACACACTGTTTCTCAGAGCTGTGTGAGATCACTACCATCCTGCTTTTGTGGGGGTGGGTATGGGTGTTAAATATTTATTTATTTATGTTTAGTTTTTTTCCCCCATAGATTTTTAACATTCTAAAAGCTCTTTATTATTAAATTACATTTACATTTACATTACATTTAGTCATTTAGCAGACGCTTTTATCCAAAGCGACTTACAAATAAGGACAATAGAAGCAATCAAAACTAACAAAAGAGCAACAATATATAAGTGCAAATGACAAGTCTCGGTTAGCCTAACACAGTACACGTAGCAAGGTGTATTTGTATATACAGTTAAATTAAGTATACTATTAAGTATTGCGAGTATTACATACAACAATAAAACAGTGCATTGACATTAAAAAGGAAATTTACTTCTGTACTTTTACTTAAGTAAAAATCTGTCTTTACAACTTTTACTTGTAATGGAGTAATATTTGACCAGCAGTATCTGTACTTTCACTCAAGTAATAGAGTTGAGTACTTTGTCCACCTCTGGCAACAGCTAACAGCGTGATGTCAACAAGATGCCCTTGTTTCTGTACAACCTGTTTGCCAACATTACAACTGCTTTACCGGGTTCATATTTCACAGAATTATCACAAATAAAGGAGCAATTAGAAAAATCATTAAGCCATTTTTTGGGTATCCAATTTGACCAAAATAAGATTAGATCAGATCAAGATTTTACAGCAACTCTTTATATAACCTTACATAATAAATTACAAAAATAGTGACAGAATGCAATGACAGACAGATACATTTTGTGGTGCTTTGTAGGTATTTTGTTAAAATCTCTTGGGTCACATTTTATCTGCTAGGTAGTGTGAGGCAAAAGGAGTTTTAAAAAAGTGGTACACCTTTGTCGGGTCGTTAATTTAAATACATAAGAAAAGGGGAGGAGATACTATCAAAACAGAAACTGCAAATACATGTTAGAGATAACACCACAAACACAGGTATCTGCAATCCGCAGAAAATCTCAAAATATCCTTAATCCGAACAATCATTCTAACACCAAGTTCTCTACAGAGCATTTCATTTGTGGAGCATCCCAAGAGCTAAGATTTCGTTCAGAATTTAGATAGGTAAGTGATAATTTACCTTTGGTCTTTGTAGTTGTTGAATCATGCTACTTCTATTTCTGACTTCATTTGGACACACATTTTTGTGTGCAACTTTAATAAACTTCATTAATTCATCATATATTTTTCCTCTGTCACCATAGGCATGTACTGCTCCAACAAAGGTCTTCAACATGTCAGAACCAGGTACTGAAGTTTTATTAGTTTAAATATAATAGTAATAATTTAAATGATCTTTATTTATTCTGTTAAAAGTCAGTTTTACTCTTTTTCTAGGTGATATATACCCTACTATTAGGTGATTTATCTTGTATACCGATTTGCTTTATTTGAATGCCCAAGATCATTTTGTCAAGGAAAAAATTTAGATCAAGAATGTGGAGGAATGGAATGCACAATGACATGTTTGACCACATTCTGTAGAATGTTTCCAACATGTTATGAGTATGTTTTCTTCTGTCTGTGTCTTAAGCTTTCTTTTTTTCTTGTTTTCTTTGCTATATAAATTCGTCACTGAATAGGTATATATCACCTTTTAACCAACAAGTTCCACATTGATCAGAAAAGGCATTGATCCTAAAAGTAGGCCATATGGTAGCTTTGTTGGATGAACAGACCAAATTTAGGTGGTTGTTCACAGAAAATCTTACCACCCATTTTGGCTTCTCTTTGACATTCTACACAGTACAATCTACAATTGTACAGTGTAGATTGTAAAAATGGATGTCTGTGATCACAAGAAAATCGAAACCAGAGTGACACAGTTTTATCGAAAATTGTCTGAAACTAGACTGTTCACCAAAACCATCTGAAAACCAACATCCAAATCTCATGCCTCAACCAGAAGGTCCTGCGCCAGATCCTCCAGCCACAGAACTTCAGTCAGAGAATCAACCACCTCCAGTTCAGCTTGCCTTGAATCAGTCTGATCCTGATCCAGTCTTTCTCTTTATTAAATTGTCTTAAACTAGGTTGTCCAGCCCAAAATGACCTTCCAAATCCCATGCCTCTGTCAGAAGGTCCTGCACCGGCTACTCCAGCCCCAGGACTCCAGACAGATGATCAATCGCCTCCAGTTCAGCCACCTTTGTATCAGTCTGAACAGATTTATGAAGTTGTTCTCGGGGATCATGGAGAACACACATACATGTGTATGTATATCTGAGTGTTTCTAAAGTCTAATACATGTATATTGTTACGTGCTAGTCTTTTTTTAGTCTAGGTTTAATGACATAGCAGTAACAAATTTTGGAGAGAGAGAGCAGAGGAACTTCTTGTCTCCAGCCCCAGTAACACACATTCAGAACAAATGAGCTTAAGTATTTATTGAATCAAAAGAAAAAGATGAAGGGAAAAACATAAGCTTCAGGAGGGGGCAAAGGCCAACACAATAAACAGTTTCTAACTCAGTTTTAACTATAACTTACCTATACATAAAAATGAAAATAAATAACAGAAGAACTTGCCTATTTCCCTGACTACACAGAACCAGGAGAAAAGCAATAACTTTTTTTTTTTTTAAAGGCACCCACCTCCCTACAGGTTTCCTTAAAAGAATATTTTAAATTCTGCACAAAAATATATAGGTCTTTAACTACATTCCCAATGGCATCAATGGTTAGCACTTGTCAATAACAGAAAACAGTGGAGTTATCTGGAGCAAGAGAAAAGAAATTCATGTAGCAAGTTACAGTCTGCAACCCTCTCCCTCTCAGCTTGTTCTTCTTGTTAGTTTTATGGCGGATTGCAACCATGACTTATCAGGTGCATACCGCCACCTACTGTATCGGAGTATGCAGCATGGATTATATCTCAATGAATGCACTTTACATTATCAAAAAAAAATATATATAATAATAATAATCTCTCAGCTTGTTGTGAGGCAGTGCTGGCTTTATATGCTGGCGTTCTCCTGGCTGCACCCAATCAGTGGAGCTGAGGTGAATGGGCAGCAAATCAGCAACAGGTGAACCCAATCACCTACATGAGAATGGTAGCAGTAGACATGGGGGGAAAAAAGAAAGAAAAAAAGCCCTACAAAGCACATAGAACAAATCACAAATAAAATGCATCTCAGGACATAACACCCCCACCATCATTAAATTTTACAACCCACGGATTGTAAGTGCCTGTTTACACCTGGTCACTTCATGTGTTTTTTCTGATCGAATAGCTATCCGATCGTGAAAAGACCAGGTGTAAATGCCCTCCAAAATGTATTCGAGACTGATATAAATCCGATCGCTCAAACCACTTCAGGAGGTGGTCTGGGCCGCATTCCAGACAAACCGAACAAGTGTAAATGCATCTGGTTGTTGAAACCATGCTAATGCAAGTCGTGGAAGTCGTGGCCTAATGGTTAGA